TAAGTCCTGATGTCACATCCTATTAGAACATAAACCCAACTGCAAGGATTCGGCCTCACTGATAACATCCTCAACCTCATGATGTAAATCACCTACAAGAACATACAATAGAGACAAACACAAAATAAGGGGAGTGAGAAATATCTCACTCTAGCTCACAGTGTAAGATGTAGCTATGCAACCAAACACAAACAAGACATATACATATATACAAAGCATAGACAGATTGATAACAATAACTCATTTAACCCTTTCATGAAATAATAGTTAAATACCACATAATGTTAAAATGCATTATGAAATGGACATAGACTACATGTTATCATGTATGTGCACTAGTAAAAACATCATATATCACACTTGTGCATTGTCGTTAGCAATATATGTAGAGTATCCTAGGAGTACATGTTGGGTCACACCCTTTGCACACTCTCACTAGGAGGACATACTACTAGGGTCTAGTTAGGATAACTGAGCCGTGTAAGATACATCCCATCCACACAAAGGGCAAGACTGGGATTTCCAAACCAAGCTATCCTCAAGGATTGATCCCCATGCTTGTACACAAGGGGGCCTTCCCTGGCGATATAATACTCATAAAAATACTTTTATGCATATGATGCATGTCAAACAGACTCTATGCATAATATTTAAGAAGATCTTATACCATAACACATCACACATCTTATCATATCATATCATGGCTAAGCCTCGCTTAAACTTCTCATCATGTGACCCTCAGTGGACCCATACATATCAAAATGTATCAATGTTAAAACACATCATTCAATTCATACATAGCTCATAATATATCATATCAATGGCATACTCACACACTACATCCATAGTCATTGAGATCAATGCCATAAAGAATTTAAATCAATAGCTTAACTAGTCTAGCAACTTTATCACTATCACACATTAAGTCTTTAGACATTGCTATCATTAAAAGACCTTAAGTCATTAACAATCAACTTATATCATAACTTATTAGTTTTCTATCATAATAAGTCATTTCTAAACATTGATATAAGTACCTCAAACCATTTATAAAGTCAAACACTTAAAGGGTAAAGCTATTCATCATCCTCATTCACAAACTACATTTTCATAACTTAACCTTCTAAGACATTGTATGATCCAAACGTTCTATCTATCTATTTATCTATATATATACATGATATCAAGTTGTTATGAATTTTATTAGAAAGATAGGACAATTATCTCCAATTTCTATGTTAACCTCAAGAGCTAATTATGTCATCTACTATTTTTAAAAAATACAAAATCCCAATGTTTTAGCCTAAATCTCACAACTTGACTTTCGCTCACTAATTTGATCATAACTTGAGTTATGCATATCCTTTTTAGGTGATTCAAACAAAATTGGAAAGCTAACATCCAGGGATAAAATTTTTAGAGGATTATAAAACCTAATTCTACCATTTTAGTCAACTCGAAAGGCTTACAACGTACGCATGTTATATTTTGCACATAAAATATATAGGGTTCACCTTTTAACTCACATAACTCAGTTATTTCTTGACATTTTTATGTGATTATTGGCTGAAAAATGTAGCCCCAAAATGTCTATTTTCTAACCCAACAATCAAAACTCAATTTCATTAATCACACGTAGAGAAATCAGATAAATACCAAGATATATTCATATTAGAGATTTCAGAACAAGGCACAACTCTCACCTAAATTCTCTTCTCCCAATCTAATAGGTAAAAACATATATTAAAGCCTAATACTACTCTATTATACCCTCAATTACTCAAATCCAACCTCAATTTCATATATTCATATAATTAACATCAATCTTCACTTTGCTCTATAAACAAGGGTTTCCTATGGTAACTACATGGACTTATAGATTCTTAAACAATTCAAATTACATGAAATTAATTATATATATAATTTAAACATCACATATAATGCACATAATTATATACTCATTTAATTTCTCATACAATCACCAAAAATACATTCCCTTAAGATTCCTATAGAAACTCATGGGCAATCCAAGATACACAAGGTTAGTTTAATACACAGAATTAAACATAAATATAATCAATTAGAGCAATGAAGAATCATATAGAAGCCAAAATTTAAGGAATAGATACAAATTGGGTTTTCCTCTCATACAACAGAAAAGAGATTGGAGGCCAATCTCACTATCCAACAATTATCTCACGCCTAGAGCGAGATTACTTACTCCCTCTATATCTCAATGAACACTTGATGAAGAATGTGGATCTCCAGGTATTCTCCTGCGAGTTCTAGTTCCCCTTCCCATTTTTTAGAGCAATGGAAAATAAAAAATGTAAAAATAAAAGAATTATTGTAACCTTTTTTCATAAAACTTAACTCACACTTAACCCTTCACTAAAATACTTTAGCCATAATTATCCTTTCCTTTCCTAAATATATTAAAACATGAATAAATAAATAATATATCAAATAAACATATTTCTCCCAACCCAAATAATTATAACAAAATACAATAATTAATAATTAACAAGTATATAATATATAAACTAAGTATATTTCTCCCAACACAATTATTGTGATACCTTCTACCCTGCTTGTATAATATAATAACTATAAAAAAGAAAATATGATACTTCAATGATTTCAAACAAATGTAAAGAGTGTCACATTCGAAACTCCAATAAAACTAAACCAATGCCTAACTATTATAACTTTAAGGAAAATATGTTGTAAGAAGTAAACTAAAACTCCTAAAACAAAAAGCATGAAACGTAATTTAATATCACCGATATCACAGGTATTAGAGCTCCCCCTTCAACCAACTAGACTCCTTCCAAAAAGGAAGCCTCTTGCAACCACATATAAAATAACCCCAGGGAAAATAGGAGATTAAGAACATATCTCACTCTAGCTACTAGTGTAGAATAAGGTCGGGTAACCACACATAATATATATAAAAACTCATGATGAAATTCAGTCTACATCTCATTCCATCACGATATCAATCATAATACAATTCAAACACAAGCAAGATGTCATGATCGTACATAGACTAGACTCTTCTAATCTATATGCTGTGGTGCTATTAAAAACAATTTTCCCTGCCCGAAGGCTAAGTAATGTAGGAGTACATGTCGGGTCAAGTCATCACAACACTCACTAGAAGGATATACTACTAGGGTCTCGTCGGGATAACTAAGTCACATAGGCTACGCCCCATGCACACAATGAGTGAGACTGGGGCTTTCCAAGCCAAACTATCCCCAAGAACTAATCCCCAAGCTTTTACACAAGGGGGTCTTCCTTAACAATGTATTTCGTATCATACCCATCACAAAACACAAATGCACATAATGCATGACATTCAAAACTCAATGCATTACCACACAAATTCAATTATCACAATACACATTCTAGACACTTGATTTCGTCCGGGACACACAAACAAAGAAGTGGAGTTTTAGCATGAAGAAAATGAGTTCTTGAAAGCCCAAAAATGACATCATAGCAGTCAAGCATGACATCAGAAGGCCCAAAGCCCAAAACTGGTGAATTAGGAGCTCGGAATGGGCCGTTCCATACTGCTAAAAAGGCCTAGAAACCCTACGTCGAAACAAGCCATTCCTAGACCAGAATGAACCGTTTTGACACAAGTTGTTATGAGTAATTTGGTGTGAATTCTGAAAATCTAAGTTGGGGAAAAGGAATTTGAAGTTATTTGCATGTGAAAGCTGAAACCTTGTTGTTCTTGATGATCTCTTTGAAATCTTGATGCATGCATGTGGTATTTCTTGGGCTTTCTGAGCTGTATGGACAAATTGAATAGAGATTTTAGGTGTAGATCATGTTTAGAGGGAAAATGGGTGAAGTGTAGGTGAAAAATGAAGGTGTAGATCATGTTTATAGCATGATGACTAACTTTGAATTTGAGGAGAGAAAATTATTTTGAAAACTGAAAATCCCACATAAGGAATTTTGCTACTAGTAATAGTGATTCCACATAGTGTGACGACTATGATGGGCCGTTACAAAAACATTGGGATGTTACAATTATCTTAAAACAAAATATATAAATAATTATAATAAAAAGAACAAATTTTCTTAAAATATTTATTGTAACAAAATATCATAAATATACATATTCACTAATAAATATTATACAAAACAATTTTCATAAATATTTATTATTTATTTTAAAAACACTCATAATTATTAAAAGTCTCTAAAATATTTTATAAAGCCCTTTTAATTAATTAAAATAATTATAATAAAATAACCCCATTAAATATAAAAATAAATAATAATTAAAAAATTATATTAGTAGAAAATTTGAAGTGTTACAAGTAACATATATCAATATTTCCTAGAACATGTTTAACTGATCATATACATTTTAGTCATTCTTAAGATTCATGATTTTTAGTATTCATGATTTTGAGAATCATAATTCTTGAATGTGAAAAAATTTCTCATATAACAAATGCTCTCTAAAATATAAAATATTTTTTTTCATTAAAGTTGTCTCTCTTTATTTTATTTTATTGTTTTATTTTATTTTATTATTAGAGTTAATTATAAAAATGTTGTGAGACTCTTTAACACGTGTGCAGGAATGGACTTAGAGGGAGGCAAGCGGGTCTTGTCCCCACCCTCCCATTTATCTCCACTAATTTTTTTTAGTAAATGTATAATATATTTGAATATAAAACTGTTAGAAAAATAAATTTAATTAAAAAGATTATGAAAAACTTTCATTAGACACATGATAAACAATATTATAAAATTTTAATAAACTTTTATCACTTATAAACTTTGACTAGTGTACGGCATTATTTGAAGTTAAATATTTAATTATAAAAGTGGGAAAAAAAAATTGGGTCCCCTTTCTTAATTCTCTAGATCCATCGTGCATGTATGTAACGTAGTTCTCTCTTGCACATTTTTCTTCTTATTTTATGGTAACCATCTATTGATTTTTTCTTTTTTCTCTTAAAAATATAACAAGACAAATAACTTTAGTATTGGATTCTGTACAACCTCACTTTGACTAACACAAGTATGCTCAGGATTGTAAGGGGTCAAGGTATGACACAGACCTCTACAATGCTTTTATTGTTAAGTTTTTCTGCATTGTAGAATCATATTGAATTGAAGGAACATATGGCTGTGGCTTTTGTTGGAGAAGCATTCCTCTCAGCTGCTGTGGAGGTTCTGTTGGACAGGATCATTTCTCATGAGTTTCTAGACTTTTTTTGTCGCAAAAAGCTTGACATTTCGCTCCTGAAAAATCTTAGAATAAAACTGCTGAGTCTTCAAGCTGTACTAAATGATGCTGAAGAGAAACAAATCACCAATCCTGCAGTCAAAGAGTGGCTGGATGAGCTCACACATGCTGTTTTTGATGCTGATGATTTGTTAGATGAAATCAACACTGAGGCTTTGCGATGCAAATTGGAAGCCAAGTCTATGAGTCAATCCACTAGTGATCAGGTGCTGAACTTCCTTTCGTATCCTTTCAACCAGTTTCAGAAAGTTATCCATTTGAAAATACAAGCATTGTTTCAAAGATTAGAACATTTTGCACTGCAAAAGGACATTCTTCAACTGAAAGAAGGTGTTTCTGGCAGTGTTTGGCATGGAACTCCTACAAGTTCTGTGGTAGATGAATCTACTATTTATGGCAGAGATGGTGACAGAAAGAAACTTAAAAATTATTTGATGTCAGAAGATGCTAGTGGCAGTGGTTGTAAAATAGGAGTGATTTCAATTGTGGGCATGGGAGGGCTTGGGAAAACAACACTTGCTAAACTCCTTTACAATGATAGAGATGTTCAAGAGAAATTTGATCTGAAAGCATGGGCATATATTTCAAATGATTTTGATGTTTGCAAGGTTACCAGAACCATTCTTGAATCTGTCACTTTCAAACCATTTGACACAAACAACCTGAATATTCTACAAGTAGAATTGCAACAAAGCTTGATCCAGAAAAGATTTTTGCTTGTATTGGATGACATATGGAATGGAAGCTATGTTGATTGGAACAATTTAATGGACATTTTTAGCACAGGGAAAATGGGGAGTAGAATCATCATCACAACTCGAGATGAGAGTGTTGCAAGAGCCATGCAAACCTTTTTACCAATTTACCATTTGACATGTCTAGCTAGTGAAGATTGCTGGTATCTACTCGCTAAACATGCATTTGGAGCAAATAATTGTAGTGAACAATCCAACCTAGAACTAATAGGTAAAGAAATTGCCAAAAAATGTGATGGCTTACCATTAGCTGCAGTAGCACTTGGGGGTCTACTTCGCACCAAATTATCAGAAAATTATTGGAACAAAGTATTAGAAAGCAACATTTGGGATTTGCCAAATGTTAAGGTGCTACCAGCTTTGTTATTGAGCTATCATTTTCTTCCTGCTCCTTTAAAACGGTGCTTTGCTTACATGTCAATATTTCCGAAGAACTCCAAGTTGGAAAAACATATGGTAGTTCGGCTATGGATTGCAGAAGGCCTAGTATGTGAGTCAAAAAAGTAGCAAAACTATGGAAGAAGTTGGAGATGAATACTTTGATGAACTAGTATCAAGATCACTAATACATCAAGGATCACTCAGTGGGCAAGCAAACTTTAAATTGCATGATCTCATCAATGATTTAGCAACAATGATTTCATCTTCATATTGTATCAGGTATGACTATAAGGATCCAATGTCACATGCTAGAGTTGAAAGAATTCGGCATTTTTCATACAACAAAGGGAAGTACGACTCTTTCAATAAATTTGATAGCCTTTATGGATCAAAAGGTCTTCGTACATTCATAGCCTTGCCATTAAGACTATGGTGGTTAAGAAGTAATTGTTTTGCCCACCATTACATATCAAACAAGGTTGTACATGACTTGTTACCAACAATGAGACAACTAAGGGTTTTGTCTTTGTCACACTATATTAATGTCACTGAAGTGCCTGATTATATTGGAAGTTTAATTTACCTACGGTACTTAGATCTTTCTAACTCTAAAATTCAAAGGTTGCCAGATGTAATTTGCAAGCTTTACAATATGCAGACCTTGCTGTTGTTCAATTGTAGTTTACTTACTCAATTGCCTGAGGACATTGGAAATTTGGTTAATCTACGACACCTAGACATTAGTGGGACTAAATTGAACAAAATGCCTGCACAAATAGCCTCACTACACAATCTTCAAACCTTGTCCACCTTTGTCATCAGCGAACTGCAAGATGGATTGAAGGTTGGAGAGTTGAAAAATTTTCCTCATCTAAAGGGGAAGCTTTCCATTTTAAAGCTACAAAATGTTGTTGAACCCTCTGAAGTTTTCCAAGCCAATTTGAAGAATAATAAACAAATAGAAGAGTTAGCACTAGAATGGGATTGTGGCACCACTGAAGACACACAAACTGTAAGGCTTGTACTTGAACAGCTGCAGCCACCAAAAAATTTGAAGAAACTGACCATCAAATTCTATGGTGGAACCAGCTTTCCAACTTGGTTGGGTGATTCTTCATTTGGAAACATGGTGTACTTATTCATGAGTGGTTGTGATCATTGTTGGTCACTACCTCCCCTTGGAAGATTAGTTAGTCTCCAAGAACTCTATATTTCTGGGATGAAATCAGTGAGGACTATTGGTACTGAATTCTATGGAAGTGATTCACCTTCATTTCAACCATTTCCCTCCTTGGAGATTCTAAGTTTTGATGAGATGCCAGAGTGGGAGGAATGGAACTTGTTTGGAGGAACAATTATTGAGTTTCCTAGCCTATTATATCTATCTATCAAGGATTGTCCCAAACTCAAAGGAACCTTACCCAACAATCTCCCTTCCTCAATTGATTTTGAGTTATGTAACTGTCCTCTATTGTTTCCATTGGTTTGTCCTGAACTCAGAGAAAACTTATCAACCGATCTCATTTCTTCAATTGTGCTCAAGTCCACCGATTTCATCCTAGACTTAACTATCTCAGGCATTACCTCCCCAGCATCCTTAAGAAGTCTCCCCACAGCATTGAGATCTATTACTTTACGCAATTGCGAGAAACTAGAATTCCTACCTCATGAATCCTTGCAAAGTTACACATCACTTAAGGATTTGAAAATATTTGATAGTTGCTGTTCACTGACTTCCTTTACCTTAGGCTGTCTCTCTGTGCTAGAAAATCTTTACATTTCTAGTTCCAAGAATTTGAAATCCATTGGTATTGCAGAAAATGCTTCTCATAGTCTCTCACTTCTCCAACGTTTGAGCATATCTGATTGTCCTGAACTTGACTCATTTCCTATGGGTGGATTGCTCACTCCTAACCTCATTCATCTGCAGTTGTTGAACTGTGACAAGCTCAATTCGCTTCCGGTACCAATCAACAATCTTGTTTCCCTTCAATTATTGAACATTAGTGGTCTTCCAAATCTTGAGTCTTTTGCAAATGAGGGTTTGCCTATAAGGCTACGTTGTATATATGTCTATAATATGGGGAGTTTTTGGACAAAATCTATGAGTCAGTGGGGTTTGCAAAGGCTCACATGTCTTTCAACATTGTACATTGGAGGTGATGACATTTTGAATGTGCTAATGAAAATGAATGTGCCATTGTTGCCTACTTCTCTTGTGTCCTTATGCATATATAATCTTTGTGATGTAAAATGCTTGGATGGAAAGTGGCTTCAGCATCTCACATCTCTTGAAAACCTTGAAATTTCGAATGCTTACCAGCTTGAATCATTACCTGAAGAGGGATTGCCTTCCTCTCTTTCAGTATTCACCATCATGAGATGTCCATTGTTAGAAGCAAGTTGTGGTGAAGGAGGGAAAGAGTGGCGAA